TGCTTAAAACTACAACAGCATTTCACCTTGGAGGAAGCTGCGATGTATTGTTGCGAAATCGTGGCCGGGAATATGGTTTCCCCTTTTTTTTTCGGAAGAAATCATTTTTTCCTCATCCTTACCATCGTCATTTTCCTTTACTTCTTTTGTATGTTTGTCACTCTCTTGTGACCCGCTATTTCCGGGGTGCCTTGATAGTCGAAGCAGACTTTGTGCTGTTGAGGCTAGAGAGGTGAGCAGAGTAAGCCTGACTCCCTGTAAGGACTTCTCTGTTGACATCCACCCCTTGGCGCTCATATGACCTAATGCAGTTGCGAGCGCTGTAAAACCTTATTAAAACTAAAACTAAAGAAATCAATAGGAATTAGAACCACCCCGGGTTATGTCCCTCGCTGCTGGGTGTTGTTACAGTTGAATAAACAGACAGCTTTCTCTGACACAAAACTCCAGGATTTTCTGGTATTTATGGATTTTCACGACACTGCACTTAACAGTAAGAGTGTTGGTGGGTTCCCCCAATCATCTCATCAAGGATGCAGACCCCACGAGAGACAGGATCGGAAAAATAAAAATAAAAAGGAAGCGTGGAAAAAAAACCCCGCAGATCGCGTTCAATCTGAATAATGAGATAGCTTGTAGGGATCTCTTTTTTCTCCAAAAAGAAAGTGCACTATTTTTATAGCCCGCGGTTTGAATGGGCCGGGTTCTTCTTGAGGGGAAAGATAAACAAACTATTCATTCCGAGGCTATAAACATGGCAGGCTTCAATGGGAAGCGCCAAATGGTGGGGCCGGGGATGGGGTGGGGGTTGGGGTTTGGGGGAGGGGGGAGTGTGTGGCAGAGGGTGGTGATGATAAGCCACTTGCCTGTTTGTCGAGTCGACAGCCGCTCCAGCCATCTATCATCATCTTTTCTGTAGAGGTAACAAATCGAAACCAAATCACCGGTTACAGATCAGGGGTGAGGCATCGTGGGGAAATCAGGCGCTCGTCAAAATATGATATCAAAGAAAATGGCGCATTTTGCTGGTCGTTGAGCAATTCTTTTTCTAATTTTCTATTCTTTTTCTTTTTTTTGGGGGGGGGGGTGCTAAACATCTTTTATATCCATTTAAAAATATACTTTGTGTGAGTTTTACAGAAAGACATTGATTAAAGGCACAAAAAATGTAAATTTCCAGTTTCCGAGGACTCTCGAGCTATGGAAATGACCACACTTTGGCGGCCATTTTAAAATAAATTTTACCTCTGAAACCATGCACCCTGACCTCCTTCAATTGCAAATATCTCGACTTGTGTTCAGCATTGATGGATTCTTTTTTTCTGCCAAAAGCAAGGCAAATAAATAGGCTTTATGCTGATCTCAATAACCCCACTTGCCCCAAAAGTGACGAGCGCTTGATGCCACCACGTCGCGCCACACAGGGGTCGTACATTTTTTTACTCCGGAAGGTTGTGTGTATGTGACGTGTCGTTTTGCTTTGATCTATTCCTTCGTGAAAAAGGATCAAAAGGTTGTGATTTTCCGGTGATTGAGGGTTATATGGTGGGGGTATATGTGTGTGTAGGGCTGTTCATTATTTCCATCCCCCCCTCCCCCC